TCTTCCAGTCTTCAATAACGGGGAGAAGTCCTCTTGTGATAACCACAGAGGAATCAGCCTGACGAACATGGTGTGTAAGATTGTAGGTTCTGAGACTATTAGACGTCCGTTTATAGCTCGGTAACAGTAAGCCTGAGAAAAGATGGCAGGCTTCAGACCTGATCATGGGTGTGTTGACCAGATATCCAAAGTTCGCCAGGTTCTGGAACACAGGCACACGCACTAACGCCTGATACTGACTGCCTATATTTTTCGACGGGAAGGCAGCGTTCAACTCTGTCGGTCGAGGGATCTTATGGTGGTGTCTCACTGAAAGGGGTACCGAGTAAGTACATCACTCTGTTGAAGGCTCTTTACTCGAACACTCATGAAGGTGCTAGAGGTTATTGTGAGTTGTTTGCATCGAGTGGTATCCGTTATGAACGCCCACTTTCTCCATTTATGTTCAGTTTTGTCATAGACGTTCTTATGGAGATCTTCATCTCATCATCTGACTTCACAGAGGTTGGCCTTATCACATAATCTTAAGTGGACCTAGGGTACGCAGATGGGATAGTCCTGTTAGGTGAATATGCTGGTAAAATGCAGAGTCTTCTGGAAATTCAGAATGTTTGGGGTGCATTTATCGCCACCTAAACGCAAACTGTTAATCCAGGACTGGTCTTCAATGATCCACTGTCTGACAAGAGTGGAATGCTTGAGCACGTTGACCACTTCACTTACATAGAAAGTTGGATCTATCCTGGTGTGTAGTGACAAAAGGCCAGCAGGATTTTCACCGAATTTACGCCACATATGGCTGCCCCATGATATATAATTGTCTGTTAAGGGTTGAGTGTACTGGATTGTAGTTCCCTCTGTTCTACTATGAAGATGTGAAACGTTGGCAGTTAAGGTAGATGATATGAGAAGGTTTCAGGTGTTCGACTACAGTTGCCTTCGTAGTATAGGCCGTCTGTTGTTGTGTTACCACGTCAGTAGCGTGCGTAGTAGTCAAGTGTGAAGTTCTGAGGAGAAGAGGAAAGTCGGTTGATGATGTTATGAACCTCTTTCGACTGAGATGCCTAGGGCATGTGTTACGCATACCTCGTTGCGTAATGTTATCTGAAATAGATACAGACTAGAAAAAACTTCGGCTTGACCAGACCAAGACATGGCATCAATGTATGAAGTTCTTTGCAGTTGGTCTGTGCCATGTGGGGAGATGCAGACTAGCCGGTTGAGGTTTGCGGGACAACTGATGATAACTCTAGGTGACATGGCTGAGAATCTCTGTCAACGGCGCAAATGTATACACACATTATCCTCATGTTAACCGTTATACTTAATCTCATCGTTTTCTCCTTCTTCATCTTCCATTTTATTGTCTTGTTACTTGATGCACTGATATAAGGTGTGGCAACTTGAACTATTGTGTAGCAATGCTCGGTCCTATGTTATCAATAATGATGATGAGTCTTGACGTTATAGAGAACCAGTCAGATTAGGATTGAAGTATTCGAAGAATAAAGTTCACTGTCTCTGTATTATATCCACTTGTAGACTACAGCAGGATATTGATGGGGCCATTGTAGTGAGAGAAGTATAGTTTCAGCTTGAATACCAATGGGTTGAGATGTGGGTAGCCGATTAGTTCTATTAGTCCTCACTTCTTTCTCATAGTCTAGTCATATGCATATGCAATTTGTCTCTGAATTGTATCCATTCTGTCTTGATAGTATCATTTTAAAAACATTTTATGCTTTATTCCCTTTTTAAACCATTTTATGCGATATTCCAATCTGTTAATAAGTGTTAAACAGTTTTGTGGATCGCTTTATGAGACGCGAGTCACTAAAACTTCATCTTATTCCCAGTTTACCTAAAAGTAAAGTAACTGTCACACATTATTTAAGATCTCGTCTGTGTATATTGTGTATTTTGAGACCTTTTTGTGCTTAACTATGCAAATACTTTTTTCAGATTGAATCCCTAATGGCTTTCCATATTTATGTTTCTACTGCTGATTTATCACATCGATGAAGTTTATCATTTGCCTTTTTTCTTTGTATAGATATATTCCTGTATTATATTGATGTTGGAAACTAGCAGAGAAATCGAGGATTCGCGTTTCGTCCTATTTGGGACTCATCAACTAGATGTGCACCTGCACTCCAGTGGCTTACGTTGTTCCCACCGAGGCTCAAACCCAGAGTATCCTTCGCTTTAAACGCTAGAGCGTTGTCCACTAAGTTAGTGGGGCACGGTAGCCACCTATTGTGCAACGGGTGTCAATTGTTGTAATGAATCGCCCGAGCGATTCGGCCTTGTATAGCAACGAAAAATAACAAGTATCATTACAGTATATTTCTGTAGTTTAAAAATCCCACTAAGTCATAAAACAAAAGAAGTTTACCGACGAGTTACTCCATTTCAGTGATCTCAAGCTGTACAATAGCATATAAATATTCTATCCACATAGCGTAACGGAAAACGAGTCTTTGAATGAAGTTCAGATTTTAGGTGGGAATTCATCATGGAATGACATCAGTTGGAGGAACATTGGAAACCTGGGAGCACTGTACAAGCTTCGTCTTAGTATGGGACTCCTCAGTAGTGCGCACCCATGACCCCCCCCCTTCAGGGATGGAATCTAAGGTCCGAAACCTCCCTGGCCAGCCCGTTACCATTGACCCACTCGGTCGGAATCATACTTAATTGAACTAGTTTAATATTTTGATCTGCGAAGCTCATTTCGAACTGAGTTCGTGAGGTCAAATGCCACTCTAATAAACAGACCTATTGGAGATCTTATGAAACATCTCCAAGTTGCCTTCCTTGTATGGTAGGTAATACGGTAGAGGTTTTCAATTCTTCATTCTCGTATTGCCACTGTTACTATTATTATTATTATTACTACCACTATTAGCCATATTTTTCTGACAACTGCTAGTGAATTTACTGGTCAGTTAAGCAGAACAATTTTTGGTGGGTATCCTCAGTGTATCTGAGTTCTTGTCTCAAATCTCCTATCTCACCAGTAAATTTCTTCATGGCCCCGTTATTATTTAGACATTTTGCTCCTTCTATTCTAACTGACAAGGTAAGATGATTTGAAGTCTAAGCAACGATTCAAGTGTGAAGGTTTTCCGTAGACACCAGTGTCCAAACAACCTTCAAATTAACTTAGATGGAGGGAGAGATTAATAACTGAGTGTTTCCCTATCGAATCAACAGTAAGTAGGTGTGACAGGTATGATTCAGCACCTGTTCTACAAATATAGGAAGTCCTACTACTTATATGAGGATATTCCGAAATTGTGGAGCTGTCGTGATATGGCTAGGGAGAGTGAATTGGATTTGGGAGTTTGTGGCGAGGTGAGATGAGTTGAGGTGAGGACAAATACTCAACGATGACATTGTGAACTGAGAGAAGTTGGAAACGGACCATTGGATTCCCACCGAGTGACTGAATGGTAAGGTGGTGGTCACTGAACCTGACGTTCTTGGGTTGGATCCCTGGCGCACTTTTGAGGAGTTCCATATTAGTGGGATGAAACAGCTGTCCAGTACTCCCATGTTTAGAAGTTTCTCGAATGAAAATAACGAAAGGAGTAGTAATCCGAACAGAGGAACTTTAACATTGTCAGCTCAGTTAGTTATGAGAATTCGATGTGAACAGAAGATGTTGCGATTAAGTAAGAGTGAAGAAGTAACCAGCCATCTAAGGTTGATAAAGAATGACTTAAGCAAATAAGAGTCAAAAAGGTTATTAGAATTGACAGAGGTTCATGTGTTTGTTTGTTGTAGCCTCAGCAAGCTTCTGAGGAATTGAGCTTGCATGTTGGAGGAATTGAGATTGTATGTCTGATGTCAAGTGTCAATCAGAGGGTGAGTGATATCACTGCTCAAAGTGTTGCTTCTTAATGGAAGAATAGAGAGAAAGGCGTATCTTGCAACCAATGGCGTCATTGAGTAAGTGTCTTCATGTTTGACTTGCAGGTCGCATTTTATCGTTAACTGAGAGAAGTAGGAAATATGGACTATTGGATTCGGACCCAGCTGCTCAATGGTAAGGTGGCGGTCACGGTACCTGAAGGTCCCGGGTTCGATCCCTGGTGGGGTGGGGAGAGATCATGGGTGTGCACTACTGAGGATTCCCATATTAAGACGAAACGGCTGTACAGTGCTCCCAGGTTTCCGATGTCCCTCCAACTGATATCAGTCCATTATGAATTCCAACCTGAAATCAATTCCTAAATCTCCACAAACCTCCAGATAGAAGTTCATATTTGATTATAAATCAATGGATGGGAAAAAAAGAATTACGTAATGTTTGAAATAGTAATAAGAAGGTGACTTTTAGAGACCGAACTAAGATTTGGATACAAAGTTGAATGATGTTGTAACACGATGAGTGTAAAGAAAAATCAGAATTATTGAAGTGTAATAAGATCAGAATGAAAAGATACACCTTTTACGTGATTTGCGCCAACTTTGTAGATGACATTGAAGTTGTGTTCTGCATTTACCCCCCCCCCCCCCTTCAAGTGGCCATAATCGATCAAATGTTATAAAACAGAGTTTCGAAGTGTTATCCTTTCTCCTTTGTAGAACTAGGCTGGTATGTGTTTGAAAGGCGAACGCTGACTACAGCCAGTATAATACCTTACTCCACAGGAGCAGGGGAAATGATAGACACATCGAGGTGACCATCAGAGCTAGCTTATCCTTTACGCATAATCGATACATTGGGTAGTTGGAGGAAGTTAATCTGAGTTTGGCAGTATATAAAGTCTTTCTTGATGAGTATACCAGACAGTTTCTCAATATTTTCTGCTGATGTCTCTCCATTGAACTGTAAGCTTATGTGAAGAGGCTTTTTAGGAGCCGTAAAAGTGGGATGGAATGAAGTGATGAAACGCTCAGGATACTGGTTTTCAATCAAAACATTTTTAATCAAAAGATTCAGTTTATCTTCCAAAGTATATACTTCTGTTTATTGTATAACACGTTTTTAGGTTAAAATTTTAGTACCTAATAGTACAGCTGGAATGATAATCGGAAAAGGTGGCAGCTTCATCAAGGAATTAAAAGATACAACTGGAGTATTTATTCAGGTATCTCAGAAGTCTAAAGAGCTTAACTTAGCTGAAAGATGTGTTACTGTGGCAGGTAAAATAACCGTTTTATTTGTTTATTTCCAATTCATATATAACTGATGATTATGCTGTTCACTTTATTTTAACGAGATTTCTGCATTTTAGAAGAATATTAATGAATAAATACTTGAATTAAAAGCAGCCATGTGTATACATTACACTAGTGATTTGTTTCTTTACTCGATGCCTCGGTATGTCCAAACCACCTTTGCATTTGCAGCAGGCACATAACCTCATGGACTGACTTGTCTCCCCTGACTTATTACCTCCTGTCTATCCTTGATCCTCGGCATTGCTCACACAGAGGTTCCACTATATGCCAACAATGCTGCAAGACGCTTGTGGTCAAAAACCTGTACCTCCTCACATATCTTCTATCTTCAACGGCCATGTTTTACAGTTGTGTACAATACGACTTGATGAACCTCAATGCAATACACTCGTTCTTCGATAGGTAGTCATATATTTCACTGGCGGCATAGATGATGTAGATTGGTGAATGCTGAAAAGGGTTTTCTCTATTCTGGCTGAGATATCATCAACAACCAAGTCATTTGGATGGATGCAACCCCTGAAGTAAACGAAGTAGTCAATGTATTCTACCACTTCACTACCTCTCCTTGAATTAGGAGCCGAAGCAGATCAGTCCTGAAACATCATGTTACATCTGATAGGTGTGAAACGCATGTAGAACGTGCTGAGAATTTCGGTCAGGATATCTTCATCTAACGGGACTTTGTCGTCCGAGTAATTTAAGCTAACCGAGAATCTTTCAGAGAGTAATTCAACTCCTGAGAAGTTGGAGGTACTTGAGGTTACACGAAATCTCCCCACTAGCTGGCACATGACTATGATTTCAAATCAGCTCCGTGGTTAGCATTACTTACTTGCTCGGTGGTACTCCCTTCACAAAAAGATGCTTTTATCGTTTACTAGAAGTGGGTTTTATTCTTGAGCTCTGGTTAGGCGTCGGATGACTATTGATCGTAGGATCCCGGACACGATGTTATTCTAACTGATTCCCACCTAAGTGCCATATGAAGACATCTTTTCTTACTGACCAAAATAATTAGCGATCTAAGCTAATCTCTTGGCTACCTCCACAGGTTAGTTTTTTACCTACATTTTTAAAAGGTCTTAGTGGTAATCCATCGAGTCGTGCTGCTATGCATCATTTCGAGTTTGAAAGAGTTTTCGCAGCTTCTAGGAGGATTGTGAGGCGAACAACTACGTCCTATTCAGGTTTGGGCTTGGTTTTGCACGACTAAAGCTTCGATGTAGGCCAATCGAATCACTCTTTAAAGTCTTATGCCTGACGCCTTAACCACCTTTCACGATATGTGATCTAGAACCCACTCTTTTCGTTGATGATCTCGCCGATCGTCTTCTTTCAAGTATCCTTAATAAGCCAGAATGATTGCCAGGCTGATGCCTACTCCATCGCTTTCACCACCCGTACCACTGCTTCTTATCATTACGAAGATTCCTAGTCAATTAACGTTTGAACTATTTTCACTCTGCATTGTGGTTAGAACCAGCTGAAAGACTCTACTAGTATTGATCAGGCCACGGAAGTCTACCGGTTTTTACTAACCTGTAGTTGTAGTTTAATAACTGTCTGTGATCGGTATACAATGAACTGAATATTACTCTATGTGTACGTAATCAAGAAGAGAATTACTTCCATTTTCGTATAAATGCTTAGCTATCTCTCTCAGTCATTGCGTACTTGACGTTCTCATTCTTCTACTGAAGGACACACAGCCTGCACTAATGTTTGTTCCCTTCACCGTTGAAGGCCTTAACATACTACGAAACATGCCCATTGAGTCATAGAGAAGAGATAATTCAGCGAAGAAGATTTTCTTTCTCGACGATATCATTTTCTATAGCTGTACAATCGTATTCATTTATATATCATAAATATATAACAGTCTATTATAAAACAATAGGGTATGCTTACATCATTAACCAAGTGCTACAAAAAAACGGAATCAACAATGCAAAGTAGTTGCGTTATCAATCAAGACAGTAGAAATATCGAAGAAGGCAAGGAGCTTGACAAGGTGAAAATTGTTGGTAGATATGAAACGCAAATATTGAGTATCCACTTGATAGACAGATAGGTGTAAAGAAGGTGAAGAATGAGACAATCGTCATAGTGAAGGTGATAATAATAAACTAATTAATTATAATGAGATCGAATAACAAGTGAAAGTGTGAAGACCATGGTAAGATGAGAGATTGAACATACTTGTTTTGTACGCAGAGATCAGGCTTGAATTGCCAGTGCCTCCACTGTGCACAACTGTCGAAGGTGTACTCCTTTTGAACTATTCCATCTGACAAGATAAATGATACTAAAGAAGGAGGATTCTGGTTTAGCTTTCTGTCCAGAGTTGACCAAATGTCCAAGAATTGAACTGTTAATTGATTTACATTCTCTCCTCGACAACCATGCAGGATAGTGCTGAGAGATAAGTCTGGAAAACGTGTGCTTTGTGCAGCCTATATTAACTAGCACTAGGTTAATGATGTAAGCATACCCTATTGTTTTATAATAGACTGTTATATGTTTATGATATATACATGAATACGATTGTACAGCTATAGAAAATGATATCGTCGAGAAAGAAAATTTTCTCCGTTGAATTGTCTCTTCTCTATGCCTTAACATACACTTGCCTGTGTTGTCGTGTGATGGGAGTACAGTATACTCTTCTACGATGGATTACAGCAGTATGATCTTTCTCTGTTCAGTATTGGTTTATTGGTGGACACCAAGAGAGACAGTGTCTCTACTTGGTTGAAGTTAATGATAGGCGTAACAAAATTGCAAGAGGCTATCATAGTTGTCAATTTCTTATAATGGGATGCAGTAAATATCTCCCAAATACCTTTTCAATTAGTTTAGCTCTTCTACTTGAGCGTTGATGTCGCCTAGTAGTATAATTGTACGTGAACATTTTATTTTAGATTGCAAAATCGACAGATTTGAATAGAATTTATCGATTAGGACATCTGAAGTTTAGTTGGTGGGTGCACTAGCGGAGATCACTACCAGGCATTGACGAGTGTCATTATCCTTCCTAGTTCTTACATATTTATTCAGTCTAACCAACACTCAGATAGTTAATTGGTATTCAGTCGAGAATTATTTTGTTCTACTCTATAACCTAATGTTATGCCTACAGCCAATGAGTTCAAGAAAGCTGGTCATTCAATACTAAGCTTTTCTTCTTGTGCATTAAAGTTGCCTACATTCAATACTGAGTAAAAAAAAATAAGATTGAATCGGATTAGAAGAAGTCCAAGGGTCATCAGAACAAGATCTGATACTGATTTATGAAATCTTTGACTGTCAGTTAGAAATGTTTATGGGAATTAAAGTTGGCTTAACTGACATCCTGAAGATGACTGTAATCAATGACTGAAAAATTCCCGTTCTGAAATTGTGTATTTTTTAGACTCATTAGTTCTAGTCAAGTAAATAACTACGTTTAGGTCTTGTATTCCACCTCAGAAACAGCACATACATATGACTCGAGATTCCAAAGTTTTGGTAGATGATACCTGTTTGATTTATCATAGGGTTTCGGATGTTGAAAGCTGTAACATGATTTTAGGAGACCAAAAATCGTGTTTGGTTGGTTTAGTAGTCATAGGATGAGAAGTAAAGAAAACTATAAGAGACCCACTACTGATATCAGGAAATTAAAGCAAAGATAAGGAGATTTATTGGATTTTGTAAACTGCTGAAAGCTGTCCACACTGTACAAGTTGTGTTTTGAGAGATATGTGAAAGAATAGCTGGGTTTATTTCGTTTGATCACAATTCCCCATGGGACGTCTTTTTTGGGAAGTTTGAGATTTATTTTTTTATTGATCAAAGCATGGTGTTTAACAGTAACAGATCTTTGTACCGTAGTAGAATCCCAGGGAACAAACTTTTCAGTTAGTATAGCTTGTTGCTTTGTTGTCGTTTGAAAGCATGACCAGCTACATTTGGTGAAACTTCAGGGGCGGGGGAAGAAACCCACTCTCACTACCTGCTGTCTACAGCACCACTCATTCACAGATGCATTCAGCTGACGAGTCCTAAATGGTACGAAATGTGCGTCCTGGATTCCATTATTCACCATTAATATCAGATTTAAAAATACAGACAGTATACGGGAGGCATTTGGAAAGGAGTGTCTATACCAATAGTGACATCAATTCGATCCACCCTTCTTTTTATTATGGAAGATTTAGTATTGCTTTTCAATGAATTTTTTCTATACAATAGTAATCAATAATTTCTTGCCTATATTTTGCAGGTGAACTTTCTCAAACACGTGAAGCTATCGCTTTAATTTTAAGTAAAATTGCTGAGGATCCCCAATCATCTAGTTGTCCGAATATATCCTACTCTGAAATCATTGGACCAGTTGCAAGTGCTTATCCTACTGGTTCACCGTATGCTTTATCAGTTGGATCACATCCAGGATTACCTGTATGCGGTATGAATTTTAGTTCAGATGTTCACTTTCGAACTGTATCAAGTTCAAATTCTACTTTTACAAGCGCACACATTAATTCTCTTTCACCTGTCAGCCCAACTACCTCAAATCCAACTTCTGTATCTATGTTTAGTGGAAATCCTTCTCCAAATGTTGCTGCTGCTATGGCGGCAATGAATGCAGTTGTTGGATGTCCTCCAAATGCTACCAGATCGTCTTCATCCACACTAATGACTAACGGAGGTCGAGCATTGATGGGTCGAGGTGTTGCCAGCACACATCATCAATCTATTCCTCATTCTCCGCATAGTCTTTTAGGATCTGTTGCTGCTCATTATGGAGCTAAATTATCTCCAACATATACTAATACAACTGGATGCGTCATGTCTTCACCGAATTCAAATGGAAGTCTTGAAGGTATACGCAATGTGTTAAGAAGTGCTGGTTATTCTGATATAGCTACAGAAGAAATAGCCAATGCTATGGATGTATTAAGTTTGTATGGATTTATATCGATGTCCAGTTTAACTGGATGCATTAATACTTCATCAATTGTTAATCCATCTTCAAATAATCATCATCCTCATCATCTTACTATGAATTCGAATGCATTCAGTGGTTTAAGCAGATCATTCTCGAACTATGAACCAAATGGTGCTAGCATTGGCGGTGGTGGTGGTGGTCATCAGTCTCCAATATTTTCAAATCACTTCTATTCTAATGATCTTCCATTAAACAATTCACGAAATCTTGGGACAGTTTCTCTTCAGAATTGTACTACCACTACTACTAGTAGTAGTAGTAGTAGTGGTAGTAGTAGTACACAACCATCTAATCATCAAATGTATATGCATAGACGATCATCATTCTCTTCATCATCCTCTTCATATCAACCGCATATCAATAATCTGAATTCACATTCACGTGGAACACATTTACCTATTGCTACAACATGTGGTGGTGGTGGTGGTGATAACAATAATAATCATATCACTACTAACAACATTGAAGTCATTCCAATATTAATTCAAGATATGAAAGTACCAAATCCCTCTGACACGATAATTTGCAATTCACTTATTCTAAATGATGATAGTCATAAGTTGGATGTACCTACAGGTCTGTATTCTTCATTATCATCGAATGAAAGACTCGATTCAAAGACTTCTACACAATCTACAGTTGTAGGCATTCATACTGTTTCATCATCAATTGCCAATATGTCAATTCATAAACGGAATGGTATAACTGTAGAGAATTCTGTCAATACGGGTCTAATACTTCATCGGTTATCAGATGGGAATATTGACGAAGAGAGTGTTGATCAAAATAGTATAACATGTTGTCCTACAGTGTCTATAATCAATGATACTAGTCGAACGAATAGTTTATGGAATCTATGATAGATTTGTTGTAGGCATCTGATTTTCTAGGTGGGTATGTGTAAATGTTTCTTTTGGCCAGTCATTTTCAATTTATCATCACCACTTACTTGCTCTTTGTATAACTTGAATCAGAATACATATATACATATGAAATACCTCAATGCTGTTTACTCTTGTCATTTCTCATGGTGTCAAACTTAATCTCTGCTCACCTTTTTGTTTTTATTAACGCGCACATCCTCATTATGATAATGATAATAATCACCACCTATCTCTATGATATTTTGCTTTGCTGTTTGAAAATTCATGAGTAGTGCTTTTTAAAGAGATTTTTGTTTTGTTTAGATAATTTTTTTTCCTTCTACCCTTCTACTGTCTTTCGAAAAGTATGTTATTACTGTTACATTACTTTAAAGTATTGTTTTGTCTCCGTGTATGTGTGTGTGTGTGCCTTCAAAAGAATACTGGAGAGTTGTAGAGCTATAATGATAAACCCTTTCTCTCTCTCTCTCTCTCTGTCTTTCTGTGACAAGAAAGATGATCGTCTTCTGTTCTTTCTCTTATTTGATGTGACTTTTACTGCTATCATCATCACTGTCTTGTGTAGTTCGCTTTCATAGAATCCGTCATCATGTTTATTACTCTAAAAAATATGCGCATAGACACTGGACATATTCATATTGTCATTTGCGTTTTGATTTTTTTTGTCGGTCATACTTTGTATGTGTGTGTGTGTGTGTACTGGATCTCTGTCGGACTGGATACCAGCTGTTTGTCTTCCCGTATAGTCTTTCTTTTCTAATTTATTGGAGTCACTTGACTCATGATACTTGTTACCATGTACCTGTTTCTGCTTCAACTATCCCCTCCGCACGCACGCGCGCGCGCTTTGTTGTCATCTAGTGATCATTCTTTATGTTACGATGAACTTTTTTGTTATGAAAGAAAAAGAGGAGGAAAGAAGGGAGAGAAAAATTCTCTACAGTCATTTTTTCCATTTTGCCTATTCCTTCAGTGCCTGATATTGAACTATCACTCAAGGTTAGTTCTATCCCGTCGTCGTCGTCATCATCATCATCATCTGTGGTGTGTAAACTGTTAAATCATATTGAAATTTGTTACACACAGATAGTCTGCCTTTTTTTTTAAAAAAAATCCATACTCATCTATGCTTTCTCAAGTAGCCTGTGATATAATCATCATGTTTGTCATTGTGTAATTTCACTGCATAAATTTCTTCTTCTGACGACTTTGAAGAAAAATAAGAAATGCATCTCAACGCTTTTTTGCTAGTGGTTTAACTAATAACCAATATAATTGGATTTTTTTTAGATGAATGGGGATTTTTAATTAAGAAGTAGTATTCATCATAGAGTGACACCAGTTGGGGAACCATTGAAAGTCTGGGAGCACTGCACAGCTGTTTCGCCTTAGTATGGAACTCCTCAGCAGTACGCACCCACTACCCGGCTAGGGATGGAACTCACGACCTTCAGGTTGACGCGTTTACTGTGAAACCCGAAGGTCCTGAGTTCGACCCCTAGCTGGGTTGTAGGTGCGTACTGCTGAGGAGTCGCAAACTAGGACGATACAGCTGGCTATTCAGTGCTCTCAGATTTTCAATGGTTCCTCAACTGATGTCAGTCCATGATGAATACTATTTCATAATTGGATTAGTTGATTATTTATTTTTCGTATGGGTTGGTTGATTGGTTGAAAAAGTTGTCAACAATTCTTAGTTGTTTTTTTTTTCAAGTGTCCTACTCTTTCGTTGATGGTTATGAAAAATAGCATTATTATTAATAATAATGTTTAATTAATATATTTTGGTGTGTCAGTTGGATTTGTTGAGATCAATTTTTGTGAACTTTACTTCTCATTCGTATTGATCATTAATTTACGTCTACCTTTTTTTCTTTTCGTTGTCTCTCTCTCTCTCTTTGCATAAATTATCCTTTCAATATTTCTTTAAACCTGAATTGATCATGAATTCATTTTATTCTCATTATTTTCTCATATGGTGCTTATTATTATACTTTTGCGCTTGTGATTTCGCTTTACTATAAAATCTTTTTCGAAATTCACTATTCTATTCGTCGATGGTTTTCGCAATTTAACTCCTAATCTCTCAAGTATGTTAGTCAACTCTATGTTGGAGGTCGGGGGACGGGTGATTAAGAATATCGTCAGTTTATCTTATTCAATGCTTTGTTTATTTTCCATTAAAATCTTTTTTGTGTTTCATTCACATACAATGGAATATACATCTATTTTGGTGATTAGCTTCATTCACTTTTTCCAGTTCATGTTATCAACATCAAAATTGAATTTTCATACTTGAAAAGGGGAATCATCAAGTTATACCTATTACTACTTATATTGAATTTTCTCTTCAATCTTGTTATATGGTCATGTCGAGCCACGTAATATATTTTCATAGCTACCTACCTACCGGAAGTATCTCACACTACCGTTATGTAATCGACTGACATCTGCACCATTTGGAAAAGGTTTTCCAAAGTGAACAGAGTTAGTTCCATTTTTATTGATTTATTAGATTTATCACACAGTGCAACAGTATTGTTTACTGGATTACGTTTGACACATAATTTATTGTCCTCATAGTCATACCACGATAGCTACACAACTTTGAGGTATCCTTTATATAGTCCTAATTTCCTCGTCTCTTTGTGAGATGGGCAGTAAGATTTTGCATATACTCGGAACAGGTGCTGAGTCACTCCTGTTGCATGTGTTAGGTGTTGATTCGATAAACAAAAACCCAGTTATCAATATTTCCCTCCACCCTGTCACATCCTGTTGTGTGGTTGTGTGTAATTGCATGCATAGCCATGGATCAGCTTTTTTCTAAATTCCTTACCTTATTAGGATCTACGATTTTTGACCTAGCTAAGTTTTTGTGTTCCGATAACCTAATTGATCCTGGTCGACTACTTTAACCTATGTATTTGACCTCGCAATCGATGCAAGGGATTTTGTAAACTAAGTTATTCTGCTTAGTTGGGTCAGTACGATCTTTTAACCTACGAACGATTTCGAGGTCAAATACATAGGTTAAAGTAGTCGACCAGGATCAATTAGGTTATCGGAACACAAAAACTTAGCTAGGTCAAAATTAGTAGATCCTAGTAAGGTAAGGAATATAGAAAAAAGCTCATCCATAGCTATGCACATGCAATTACACACAATAGGATGTGACAGGGTGAAAATTCTTAAAACTAATATAGCAGGGTGGAGGCAGAGACTGATAACTGAATCTTTGTTTCAAGTTGTTATTCATCGAAGACTGACATCAGTTGGAGGAACAAAGGAAACCTGGGAGCACTGGACAGCTGTTTCGTCCTAGTATGGGACTCCTCAGCAGTGCGCACCCACCACCCCACCAGCAGGGATCGGTCCTCCAACTGATGTCAGTCTACGATGAATAACAACTTGAAATATTTCCAAATCTCCACAACCCCTCAAAAATTTAATTGAACTGGTGCTCATTGGTGACTAGCTTCGAGAAGTATTCCCGAAGTTCCAATGACAAGTCGTGACCGGTGGAGTCAAAGCCTGATAGCCGTAAGGACAAATACTCAACGATGACATTGGGTGGCGGTTTGCGCTATATCGTGAGCTAACAGAAATAAGGAGCATTGGATTCTGACCCAGTGGCTCAATGGTAACGCGCTGGTCGCGGGACCTGAAGGTCGCGGGTTCGATCCCTGCTGATGGGTGCGCACTGCTGAGGAGTCCCACACTAGTGGGACGAGACAGCTGTCGAGTGCTACCAGGTTTCCTTTGTTCCTCCAACTGATGTCAGTCTTCGATGAATAACAACTTGAAATATTTCCAAATCTCCACAACCCCCTCAAGAATCTTTGTTTATCGAATCAGCACCTGTTCCGAGTATATGCAAAATCTTACTGCCCATCTCACAAAGAGACGAGGAAATTAGGACTATATAAAGGATACCTCAAAGTTGTGTAGCTATCGTGGTATGACTATGAGGACAATAAATTATGTGTCAAACGTAATCCAGTAAACAATACTGTTGCACTGTGTGATAAATCTAATAGACGAATGAAAATGGAATTACATTCTACCACAGTGCACAAGTTTTACTCTTATATTAATGAACAGAGTTAGATTTTGAAACTTTGGATTACTCATCCTCTCTATATAAAGACTGCAGTGGATTATCAACGTGGCGCTCTCCAGATTTCTACTTAATGGCCAATATTGATAACATGTTTGCTAATCTCCTCTTGTGTTGAGAAATATGGTGGTCTCTATCACTTTTGATTACTTTATGAAATCTAAGGTCAGGCAGCAATTCAACTATCTGAGGTAGCGTCGGTTGATATCCACACTATAGTGAAATCGAGGTGTTGAAGATGATCACAAGTTACGTGGTGTCTTGTTAAAATTACCGTATAATCTAAATTACAGCTATGTTCCTAATGTAGGTAACGCATTCAGCTCTCTACCTAGTGATAATTTCTATTTCCCTTCAAAATCTAAACAATTTTCATAACTAAGAGGATGTCTGTAATGTGCTTCCCCATCAGTTATTAGCGAGAAGTTTAAGCGAAAGTTGACTTTGATTTGCATTATGAACAATAGGTCCTAGTGTTAAAGAAAGTAAGTCATGTAGTGATTGCTCACGGGAGTGCAGACCGAATCCTATCCCAGTTCTACAGGAAGGTCAATTGCGTCTGAATAACTTGGTGGTAAAGTAGCTGACTACAACATTGGAGGGCGCAGGTTCGAATCCCAAACGGGACATCAGTTCCGTCCAGGTTGCTGACGAGTACCAAGAAACCCAGGTCGAGCACGGTTTTCTGCTGATTGCTTCCAATCAACTAACGCTTAAAAAGTAAGTCATGCGAAAATGAATCTTATGAAAGGTTGCTCAAGTTGCTTTCTACCGTAAAGAGAAGGCTAAACATACCTTTCTTAAGATTCAACAAAAGGGTAAAAGACGGTCATCAATTTATGTGTACATTGAAGGATTTTCGACGTGAAACGTTTTATATCACCATCTGAGTAAAACGAGTGACTTTAAAGGCCACCTCAGCAACTACTGAAATGACCAATCAGGCTTCGGTATTTCACCTAGAAAAGTACTCCATAACATAAAGGAATTTAATTGGTTGTTTTATCAGTTACCAGGGTGGCGTTTAAGGTCACCCAGGAAGATGGCATTCTGAGACATGTGGATGATTCAGAACTGTTGGTTAAAACAGACTGTGATATAGGGAAAGAAACATTCCCTAATTTGTCTTATATGTAAATATCGGATTACTGATCATCAAAAGAACCGTCGAAGGGGTCGTTTGGTTCCAAATGATCAAGATTTTAGACTATCACGACATACCTATCAAGTTTCACTGGTTGATGTTGGTTGTCTGCACCTCTTTGTTTCACTCTAAATCCTTTCGATTATGAATAAGAAAGGTAAGATTGTTGCCTGCCGAGTCCAACATTTCTTCAAAATCACTTCACACTACTTTAAACCTATTACAGTAGTATTAAAAGTTGAGCTGATTTTTCCAGGAAACTCAATTTGATTAGGATATTTTAATTTTGTATGTTATCAACTGTGATTGGAATAAAACATCCTGACTCCTTATCACGAACAACTTCATTTGGTTGGTAGAATTTACCGTGCATTGCAAGGAAAATCCCAGATTCTTTCGACATGGTCAGTCCACCGATAGCAAAGGCCACATTAAAGTCTGCGTCTGTATCTTTAAATACACCAGGTCGAAAAGCACCTAGATTGTTTGTAGAAGTAACATGACAATGAAATTTAAAGTCAAGATATAATAAAAAAAATTTCTTCAACTTGGATGACATTTACCAAAACCACTGTGTATATTGTTTGAACGATGCTTCACTTCTTTATAAAGTTGTCGATGATGTTATTAATCCTTGTGATGAAACATCTACGAAAAACATCAAAGTTGAGAAAATGTATAACCACCATCAACCTGTGCCTTAGTGACAATGTTTCTTATCACGTCAAGGTATTGTAATGTAGAATACGGATAACTGGAGAATCAATAATCTACTCCGATACCCTAACCCAGACGCCAACCACGAGCACACTGAGGGAGTGGCTATCATGATGTCCTCAAGAGCATCGAAGGCTCTCATGCAGTGGGAACCAATCTCCTCCAGGATCATGACAGCAAGATTCAACTCAAAAGGAAGAAAGGTCACAATCATACAATGTTATGCACCTACAAATAATGCAGAGCAAGAGAAAAAGGAGGATTTCTACAGACAACTTCAATCAACACTGGACAAGACACCACCTCGGTTGGCGATATCAAAATTCTAATGGGTGACATGAATACCAAACTGGGAGGGGACAACACGGGAAGAGAACTAACCATGGGTCGAGAGGCACTAGGTGAAATGAATGAGAATGGAGAATTGTTTGCAGAATTCTGTGCATTCAACGATTTGGTGATTGGAGGCAGTGTGTTCAGGCACAAAGATATCCACAAAGCGACATGGATTTCACCAGACACCAGGACACACTAAAAATCAAATCGACTTTATCTCAATCTCGAGAAAATGGAGACGCAGTCTACTTAACACAAGGTCAAGAAGAGGAGCAGATGTAGGTTCACACCACTCACTATCTAGTGCAAGGAACCTTCCAAATCAAGTTAAAAGCCTTCAAGGTAGCTGGTGATAGACCTCAATTCAAGTACAACACTCGGAAACTGAAGGACAAAACTACAAAGGAGATCTTCGCTTCAGTCAGCCATCGAGACAAAATGGGAGACATTGAGGGACATCCCTGAAGAAACCTGTGTGGAAGAACACTGGAAGTCTTTGAAAGCTATGTGGAAAGAAACCTGCACAACAGTATTAGGAAGAAAGAAGATAAGGATTGGATCTCGACGGATACTTGTAAGCTGATAGAGGAGATGAGGATGGTGAAGCAGAAAATAAACCAGTGCAAGGATGCTCAACGACAAGAGGAACTGAGCACAATGTATAAAACACTACACTGGACAAAGAAGTGAAGAAGAGTGCACGGAAAGACAAAAGACACTTATACGAAACACTGGCAAGTGAAGCAGAACAGGCTGCAGGTAAGAGAGACCTGACGACATTGTATCAAATAACCAGGTTGCTATCAGGGAAGAGACCAACACAGATGAAACCAATAAAAGATGAAGAAGGAAATTTAATTACAAAGGAAGAGAAACAGAGGAAACGATGGGCCGACCACTTCAAGAAGCTCTTGAATCGACCACCACCACCTGCACTTCGTCCAGAAATACCACCTGCAGCCGCTGAATTACAAGTGAACATAAATCCCCCAACGAAAATGGAAGTCCTGAAGGCCATAAAGCTACTGAAATGCGGGAAAGCAGCAGGACCAGATGGAATCCCGCCAGAAGCACTGAGAACAGATGCAGAGACAACAGCGGACATGCTCACACCACACCACTATTGCAGAAGGTGTGGAAGGAAGCGAAGGTACCTGCCCGGTTGATTGGAAGAAGGGTTACCTTGTCAAACTGCCGAAGAAGGGAGACCTCAGTGTTTGCAAGAACTGGCGCGGAATCACTCTCCTATCCACCCCAAGTAAAACATTAAGCTGCATCATCTTGGAGAGGCTAAAGGATGCACTGGATTTGAAACTACGACCGGAACAGGCTGGTCGGCAGGCTTCAGGAAGTACAAATCATGTGCAGACCAAATTGCAACGCTTCGCATCATCATAGAACAGAGCATAGAATGGCAATCAGCTCTCTACCTCAACTTCATCGACTTTGAGAAGGCCTTTGACAGCGTCGACCGAGAAGTAATTTGGAAACTGCTTCAATACTACGGAATACCGCAAACCTTTATCCGCCTCATTCAACAACTATATGAAGATGCCACATGCCAAGTAATTCACAATGAGAAGCTCAGCTCAGTGATGCTTTTGAAGTGAAGTGAAGACAGGAGTGAAACAAGGCTGCCACCTACAATCACGCATGATATTCCTGATTGTGGTGGACTGGATCATGCAGCAAACAGTAGGCAGCGAGAAGAGGGGGATACGCTGGACGGCGGAAAAGAACCTAGAAGACTTGGATTTCGCCGATGACTTGTGCCTGATGTCACATAAACTTGAAGATCTGCAGGCAAAAACTAACAAGTTGATAGAAGAGGCAGCTAAGACGGGACTTCAGGTGAATATAGAGAAGACAGAGGTGATGAAGATACCGCACCACCACCATCAACAACAACAACAAACTCCAATCACCGTCAACGGGAGAAACTTGAAGGAAGTAACCTCCTTCACTTATCTAGGAAGCACTGTTTCAACTACAGGCGGGACAGACGAGGACGTCAAAGTCAGAATCGGAAAAGCAAGACAGGCGTTCATTAGCCTGAAACCAGTGTGGAGATCTTCTGCACTCCGCTCAGCATGCGGAACAAGATACGGATTTTCAACACCAACGTCAAGTCAGTGCTTCTGTATGGTTCAGAGACTTGGCGCGTCACGAAAGGCATTTCCAATAAACTACAGACATTCACCAACAACGGCTTACGCTCGTTACTGAAGACCAGGTGGCCAGAAAGAATAAGCAACAAGGAGCTCTGGGAAGGAACCAACCAAGAACCTATTGCTCAACAAATATGCAGGGAAGGAAGTGGAGATGGATTGGGCATGCACTGAGAAGGCAGACTGAGGACATCACGTGTCAGGCCGGCCCCTCGAGTGGAATACCCATGGGAAGCGACGAGTTGGACGTCCAAGGGTGACCTGGAGGAGGTCGTGTGAGGAGGAAATGAGAGGTTGTGGGCTGTCGTGGGACCAGGTTCAAAAGATCTCAGAGAACAGAGGTCACTGGAGGCGTGCAACTGAAGCCCTATGTTCCACTGGGAACTCAAGGGACTAATAATAATAATAATAATATGGATAACTATGGATATGAATTTGATGGGATTACTATGGGAAAATAAGAATATTGCATGTGTACATTACCTACTCTCTTATATCATTCACTCGTAAAAAATATATTTTCATCGTAATGATGGATGGTAGCTAGCAGGAGAAACTAGGATGTGCGTTTCGTCCCACTTGGGATTCGTCAGTTGGATGTACCTGCCACTTGTGTGACAGGTATGGGTTTCATGTTCTTGCATGCATTATCCTATCGTTGATTGGATCGATCTCTGTTGACATATAGGCTCCAACATGGATTCTAATAGATACCGATCAATTCAGTTCAATCAACTATGAGATGATAGCAAACACCAACATGGTATGCATTCATATTGTGATTAGTTCCTGTTGAATTTGGCGTTAACTGCTACAAGTCATATGGCAGAAGGCTATAAATGCAAGTTTCGTTCCAGTTGATGCTCATCAACAGTTCGTATCTGCTAGCTTGTGAGGGTTTATCTTTCCTTGGATATCATAGCCCATGTTGATTTTATCAGAAGTTGGAGAATAATGAACACTACAAAAACCACATCGACATCTACACAAATCATTCACTAGACGGTGATTGATATAGCTGGCATACATTTATTGCTCATCAAGATTGCAGTATGCTGACTGAATGTTACAATATTATAGTAGGCACCTTAGAAACTGGCTAGTACAATTAAACCCTTCTTATCCGTAAAGTGTTGCTCATATTTGACTGCATAAATCCTCACTGCTCCCTCTTAAGTATTCGTCACTTTCAGGAAAAAGACTTCCGAGGACAGAGTAAGGTTAAACTCTACCTTAGAAACAACTAATGTAACCGATTGAATATCTAAATTTCACTAGACAGAGGAATATAATTTATTAATCCACTGTTTGTTAGAATGTCTTTCGAAGTCATATAAAATTAACGTTGGTTGTTTCACGTGGCCCAATGTCGGCTGCAGGCGTGACCTTGACGCTGTCACGTGACCATTCGTTCTAAAGCTTCGCTTCCGAAATAAATTCCACTTGCATATTATTTTCTCACATTGATGACTCATCGATTGAGTTGTGAATATTATTCCGGCTACAAAATGCTGACAATAACTTACACCGAATGATTTGATGCAAAAAAAAACATTAACAAGAGACTTAAAATATCAGTTGAACAAATGCTAAAGTAAAATACTGGAGTTTGATTATTTGTTTCAGAAGTTACTAGGGTAGAACTTGTAAAGTTACTCAGAATTATTGAGTTGGAAGCAAGGTTCTCTAAGTGGTTATAAATATCCAGTCAGTTTGTCGATAAATCTAGTTCATATTTGGACTGATTTGTTTTGATTAAATGTAAGTCTACTTTTGATGAGCGTTGTATAATCGATTACTTTTCCTGATGACAAGCTCCACAGTTACGGTTGGATTTGTCTATATTTAGCGTATGGTATATAAAGTTAAAACTTCAGTGTCGTTGTATTTAAGTGTTAGGCTCCATGTGTATCACTTCTGGTTGATGTAGACATCTGCATTTGACCATGACAATCAGTATAGCGTGTCCTATCATCTGTTTAACTTAATTCTGCCTTATTAGCACTATTTGATTTCACTTAAAAGTTACATTTAATGAAATTTAGGTCAAGCAATATGATGACGTTTCATAACCTATGTCTCATCTGACTAACTACTGAGTGTCGAAAGAGGATTGTAATCGATTAATAAATTACCTTGAAAGTAAGGGAGGATACTAACTACTACTGAGCTTCGCGTGTAAACGATAGTTTTCTGCAAATCTGATGCCTTCAAACATTACAACCATGTGTGATGAGTACAATCACACTTCTTCCT